GTGGTGACGTATTCAGATCCTTTTGTTATTCATATACCATACAGTGGTGAAGTATTCAGATCCTTTTGTTCAGTAAAAGTACTAATACCATAGTCATCACATAGTTTGATAGTTAGATAGTTTGCGTCTGATTTCCTGTCAACTCCATGGTCTCTCGAACCAGCAGGCGAGGATCAAGATGTCACACGTGTCCAGACGATGTGTAACAGCCTTTCAGTCATTCATTCAGTCAGTGGCGAAGATGAAGACGGCCCGTCGATGTCGTCCATGACAGCGGGGCCCGAGCGGTGCAGTCAGGATACTCTGAGCGTTAGCTGGGTTACTCACAGCACAGTCAGTTTATTCCTCAGGTTCTCCTCATCGGAAACTATGAACTGCAGCCTCATTAGTAAGCTGAGTTAGCTGTACTGCGGCTAAAAGTCCGTTCACTTTGCTAGTGATGAATGCTAACAACACATCGGTGGCTAATGAGCTAATACACAACGTGAATAACTGTTCAAAACACTTCAACTAAGTTAACGTTAGAAACGTCTTCAGCTTCTCACGGAAGATATGCAGAAAATGTCCAGGAGAATACTGTCGGTTAGATAGCATAAAGACACAGACTACATACTGTTTACGGTTAACTCCGGTCAATTCCGGTCAACTCCTCTGAGCCGTGTTTACTTCCTATTTGGGCGAATATCATTGGCACACTTCAAGTCAGGTGACGCTGGAACTTGTTGTTGATTGGTTTGCGGTATAGTACGCCATAGCGTTTGCCTGATTTAGTTTATCAAACATAAGTTTAGTTTTCATAAAAATATGATCGAATTGAGACTGCCAACAAACGGAAACTTGTTCAGAAAAAATATATTAAGTTAATGTTAAAAAAGCAGCTGCTCTATCGCTGAGGATCGATCATTTCAAAAACAAAAGCAGATAGCGACCTTCGGCCCACCGCCTATAATGGGTGTGTATTGCACAGAATGCTGTGAGCTAGAGTGGAGAGGCTCTAAAAATTGTCTAAAACTTTTGTCTTTAACTCGCTGCCATGGCCACAATTTTCACTGTACAGACACAATTTATACCACAAAACGTAGGAAAATTTGTCCTGCTCACAGATATGTTGACATGGAAATCTCTCACACGTACACAATTTTGCTGAGTGGCTCCAAAGCGAAGGGAGCGCTGATTTTTTTCTCATTCACTCCCATGTAAACTCAGAGGAGAGATTTCTGGAAAAAGCTTAGGTGCAACACATTTTAAACTCGCTCCTCTGACCACATTTTTGACTCTAGAAATATAAAACACGACACGTGCGTTCACGAGAAGTGGCTGTCTCTCACAATCACTTTTTTTTCTTGATTGGACCAACAGTTTGGGTATGGCAAGAATTTGTTTGAGGAGTTAAACCCATTATAAACAGCCGTTCCTGATCTGCTCTCTCAAGACCCGAACATACTCGGGCGGAACATACGTGGAACGGACTCCGCGGAGGTCCGTGCGGACTCACAGCGGACGTCTGCAAGGCCTAAGGTCAGATTTTACAACCGCGCGGACTCCGCTCCGCGCACCAGTGACTGCTCGGCATGTATTTTTCACATTGCGGGGATTTTTCACGGACATTTTTACAGGAAACTACAACGTGGAAGTGCGCTCGACTATGGAAGCCCGAATGACTGCGGACATTCCTCGCGGAGTCCGTTCCGCTTATAGTATGCCCGAGTATGTTCGGGCCTTCATGAGCCCATCTCATCTCATCCTCAAAATAAAGGAAGAGGAATCTAATGGGAAGAAATTCGCTCATCTATTTTGCATATTGTGACATCACTTCTACATACCTACATCTACAGAAAGCATTCAAACATCAAAACGTTCAGCTCTGTAAGGATTTTCTGATGTTTGTGGCAATATGTTTGATATGTCTAAATAATTCACAGTGACGACATATGCTGGGGGCCGAAACGGGCGCGAGTGCGAGGTCCCGCCAAACGCTGTTTGCAGCTTTAATTATTATTATTGTTCCTCCAAATGAATTGCCTTTTTGGGAGGCTTAACATACCCGAAAACTCATCAAACTTTGCACACATCTCAGAACTGGTGAAAAATTTGATATTTTAAGGGTCTCGTGCGCTGGTTCCAAAAAATGGCTCAGTAGCGCCCCCTACAAAAGTTTGAGGAAACAGCCCCTGAAGCTAGTTTAACCTACATGTATGAAACTTGGCAGGCTTTTGTAACTCTCTGAGATTTACAAAAAAGCCTCTTGGAGGCATGCTTTAAACCCAACAGGAAGTCTGCCATTTTGAATTTACTGTGCAATTTTGGTGCATTTTTGGCCATTTCCAGGGGTCCTAAATGAACGAACTAGTCCTAGAGATTTCATCCGATCGACTTCAAACCTTGGTCTGTCCCACCCCAAGACCTTGAAGATGAAGAGTTGAGCTCAAGCAAAAGCTTTATTTTTCGTCACTGCGTGTGACCGTGGAATGGCGTCAAAGTTAGGGGTCTTGCCACTAAACAGGAAGTAGTTTATAACTCCAGCATACATGGTCCAGTCTTGCCCAAACTTCACAGGATTGATGACAGTCCCGCCCTGAACACATCTACATGTCAATAATTAGTAATAAACATAGTGCCCCGTACTGGCAATGGGAAATGTCATGTTTTAGACTTTAATGTACATCTCCTACATACTTTACCAGATTCACTTCAAACTTGGTGAAAAAAGTCATAAGACGTTGATGACGCTTTATTGTGGAAACTGAGTTTTTGTCGAAGGGTGTGGCCACGGCCTGGTGGCGAAATTTGATGTTGCACCGTGATGATAAACGTTGCTGTAACTTGACTCCATGTGGGAATATCTTGCCAAAACTTCACACATATGATGACAGTCCAGCCCTGAACACATCTAAAGAGGAATTTTGAATCACTGCCATAGCGCCACCTTCTGGCAACAGAAAGTTACTTTATACATTCTGTGATGTCCCTCTTCTAGCAGGTTAATCAGACCGACGTCAAACTTGCTGATCTAAGTCCTTAGACCTCAGTGATGCAGAAAAATGAAGCTTTTGAGTTTTCATCAAATGCTGTCACCGTGGTGCCGCCTTGTTCGCCATCAAACACGATGTTGTTTTGAAGGGACAAGGGATGCTTGAAAACTCACCAAACGTGGCATACACATAAGAGGTTGCAAGTCCTGTTGTCTGATGTGATTTTTGTACTTTGATGCACCAAGATGGCTCAACAGCGCCCCCTAGAATATTTCAATTAAGCAGCCCCCAAAGCTGGTTTGACCTGCATGTATGAAACTTGGTATGCACCTGTAACACTCTATCACGTACAAAAAAGCCTCTTGGAGCCATGCTCCAAACCCAACAGGAAGTCCGCTATTGTGAATTTACTTGTGCCACTTTTGTGCATTTTTGCCCATTTCCAGGGCTTGTAAATTAACGAACTTGTCCTACAGATTTAATCAGATTGGCTCCAAACTTGGTGTATGTAAGCGTAACTATGTTGTGACCAAAGGTTATCACAGGATTTACCCAGTGTTGAATGAACCGATGCCGAGAGTTGAATCTTGAGGTCTCGCCATGAAAAACGAAATATGCTGTAGTTTTGGCATAAATGGTCCAATCTCCACCAAATTTGACATGATTCATATTAGTCCTGCCCTGAACACATTTTCATTACCATATTTCCTGATAATTATAGCGCCACCTAGTGTCGAAAGGAAGTACTTCTTATCAGACTGTAAGGAGGTGAACTAATGTAACGAGCTTGCAGAGGTTTCCTCATTATTTTCAAATTATTGGTGAAGGAAACCCCAGAGGGCGCCACCTTGTTGGTCTGTTTTGGTTCTGTGTGGCTATTCTTCTTTGTTGGTTGCGGCCATGTTAGGTCACAACTTCTTGTCCTTTTCTGAAAGGTAAGCAGTGTGAACTGTCTCTCCAGTCTAAAGATAGGAGAAAGTTATTGTTTTGCACTATCCAGTGGATTATTTCAACAAATATGAAGGCTAAGAGCTATATTAATGTGGTGGTGCGGTTATTTGTGAAAGAGACAACTGTGGAGTTTGTTAAGTTTATTACCAATATATGTGGTGGCCCAGAAGCATGTTACAATTCCTGTGCGAGGAAAATGTTTTGGTTCTTTTCATATTATTGTTCTCTCACACATGCACAGACACATAGTTACACTCACTCGCTCATTTACACCCACATGTACTCTTTTACTCTCACCCACTCACATGCAGACACACAATCACTCGCTCATTTACACCCACACTCTTTCACTCACATACACACACGCACACTCACTCTTTCACTCATACACACATAGTCATGGTCACTTGCTTACTCACACACACACATACTCACTTATGCACACATCTGTTAACTGCTGGTTATGTTAATACTGGTTACTGGAAAAGACCATGGGAGGTGTTCTATTGCAGTGTGACATATTTTATATTGTAAGTGACAACTTCTTGTCCTTTTCTGAAAGGTGAAGCTTTGAGATAAAGACAGCTCAACCCAGATCCTGTGTTTCCTCGCCTGGTTCTTCTCTCCGTCTTCCACCACCCAAAAACAAAATACACAACGCAGAGACTTTATAGGGAGACCGAGAGCCTAGCCTGACCCATGCTAGAGGGAGCTGACTTCAAGGGTTACAACTGGTGCCGTGACCCGGATCTGCGGATTCCACACAAGCGCAGGAGAGGGAGTTAAGAGGGGAAAAAAAGAAAACATTACTGTGTCTGTAAACATATCCTTTTGAGTTTTGGTTGTTTTATGGGGAGTGTCTGTTACCTACTCATTTATTTACTGACATATGGGGGTTCATCTGATTATTGTTGAAGAGTGTGTGTGTATCACTGTCCATATTCCATAGCTGGCTGCATCTACCACAGTCACGCATTCACCCCCCCAACACTACCACCAGCACACACACACACATATTACTCACCCCATTACATGCATATAAGTTATCGGTACATGCAGCACTTTTGAACTCCGAAAATGCAAAGTCCTCAGGAGGATACCCCTGGTCGACCACCAATGGAACTAAACTCCACGGTGAGACAGACTTTAAATCGACGTGCTGGCACAATGGACCATGATCATAATGTCCAAGCCTCAGGTGGGTCGTCACCTCAGTGTATGGTCGATATGATGGTCCCATACAAACACAACGTGGACCCCCAATGGGCCGTTAGGCCCAGGACGACACAGGGGCAGCCCCACCAGGTAAATACTGCACAGCCCTATGAGTCACCTTTACTAGCCACCATGCAACCTGCAGCCACCACCCCCAGTTTTGGGCAGACAGTACTTTCCACTGCTGGACATGCCCGCGCATCCAGTATACAGCCTCCCCCAACCACTGTACCAACCCCTTCGCCCCCCATACTCAGCCCAATATTTAATAGATATGATGTCCCAGATTCAATTCAGACTCCAACAGCTATGGTGCAAGGTCACCCACTCCTCATCCAAGGCCCCACAACTACAACACCGGATCGGACGGCCATTATTCATGCCCCAACACCCATACCACTAGCACAGAGTACCAGGTATGTCCCACCACTCCAGACTCATCACCTACCTGATGGAATGCATGCTTCAGAGTTCCTCATGCCAACTGGGCACTCTCAAGTGACCAGGTGGAACCCTCCTGCCTCTGTACCAGCCCCACCAGTCTCCATAAATACCCCTGTATCCGGCATTTATGATGCTGCCCCAAGCACAATGCCAGACCCCAAAGCCATAGTGCATGGTGCTGCTGCCAGTTTGCCTGTCCCAAGTAGCCACCCCCCCGGTATGGGATGTCAGGTGGGCCCCACTACCCCAGCCACACCTCCCTCCTGACAGAGTGTATGTCGCTCCCAATATGTATGTACCCCCAGCACACAGCCCTTACCCACCAGTTCCGACACCCCCCCACGAATATCCGCAGACTTCAGAGCCTAAATTTCAAGCCACAACTCATATGCCTACAATGGTGACAAACAATACTGCCTTGCCCACTGACTGGTATGCCTCCCAAGCAGCCATGTATAAGTCACAAAATTCCCCGCTGCCGGCCCCAGCTCCAGCTGTATCGACATCCATGCTCACTTACCAGAATGTGCCCCCCGTGGTGTTCCCCCCCATAGGACAGGCAAGAGACGGCCCTATCCAGCCTGCACCTGTCGGGTTCACACAGACAGAACTTGTCTAAACAGACAGTTGTTATTAGGTCCAAAACTCACCTGGCAGATGTCTTTTTGGTTCAGGAAGTACTGCAAACTGGGAAGGGAGGCCAGGAGAGGAGTCAGAATACCAAGATGGGGGTGACTGGTGCATGTCAAATGCATGAGCAAGGGGTGAATGGTAACACATTTCCTACAGCATGTTGTGTGGACTTGAGTGGAGCAGCCTTGGATGATGAAGGACAGCGTTCTAGGCTCGAAGAGCTGGTGGAGAAGAACAGTGATGTCTTCTCCAAGCATTCCTTGGATTATGGACACACAACGACTGTCCAGCATGAAATACCCCTGGTGAATCCAAGGCCATTTCGACTCCCCTACCGCAAAATACCACCCGCCCAGTGGCAGGGGGTCAAGAAGGCTCTCACCGAGATGGAAGAGGCTGGTGTAATTCGCCCAAGCAAGAGCCCTTATGCTTCCCAGATGGTGGTGGTAATTAAGAAGGATGGGTCTCTGAGAATATGTGTGGACTATAGGAAGCTAAACCTGTGTAGCACGAGGGATGCTTTTCTGTTGCCAAGGATAGAGGATGCACTTGAAGCATTGGGGCAGTCCAAGTACTTCTCTACCCTCAACCTCACCTCAGGGTACTGGCAGGTAGAAGTGGCAGAGCAGGATAAGCACAAAACAGCTTTCAGCACACCCATGGGGCTATACAAGGCCAACAGGATGCCATTTGGGTTGCAAAACGCCCCATCGACGTTTCAGAGATTGATGACCTGCTGTTTTGGTGACCTAAACTACATCAATCTGCTCATCTACCTTGATGACATCATTGTCTTCTCAAAGACTTTTGAGGAACACCTGGAAAGGCTTCAAGTGGTGTTCAATCGGCTACGTGAACACGGGCTGAAGCTGAAGCCCTCCAAGTGTCATTTGATGAAGGAAGAGGTTCAGTACCTTGGGCACCTGGTGTCAGCTGAGGGTATCAGGACTGACCCGGAGAAGATAAGTGCTGTGACGGACTGGAAACACCCCACTAACCGCAAAGAGGTACAGCAGTTCCTGGGCTTCACGGGTTACTACAGGCAGTTTGTGGAGGGCTATGCAAAGCTTGTTGCACCTCTATATCGTGTCACCTCGGGGGACCCGTGAAAGAAGAAAAGGGGGGTCAAGGCTTCCTGTGGCCCACCTCCCCAGTTTCATTGGACAGAAGAATGTGAGGCTGCATTCCAAGGCTTGAAGCAGAAACTTACCACAGCCCCGGTCCTGGCCTACCCAGACTACAATCTACCCTTCTTGTTACAGACCGATGCATCCGGGGAAGGACTTGGTGCAGTTCTCGCTCAGATCCAAGAGGAGAAGGAGCGTGTTATCGCGTTTGCCAGCAGAGGTTTGCATCCATCTGAAACATGTTACCCTGCACACAAGTTAGAGTTTTTAGCTCTCAAGTGGGCGGCAACAGAGAAGTTTTATGACCACCTGTATGGGCACAAATTCTCTGTCATTACGGATAACAATCCACTAAAATATGTGATGACAACAGCAAAATTGGATGCGACTGGCCAGCGCTGGGTGTCCCACCTGTCAATGCTTGACTTCGATATTCAATACCGCCAAGGAAAATGCAATGCCAACGCAGACGCTTTGTCCAGAATATGCAGTCAGGAAGTCGCACAAGCCCTGCAGACATGCCCACAGCAAGTAAAGTTCAGGAGCAGCGACAGGAAGTTTGAATGAGGCAGAGGAAAGCACAGATTGTCCTCAAGCACCACAACCATGCAATCCTGATCCACTAACTGAGTCATATGATGGTATCGGGACGGACTCGCTGCCTGTGATGACAAAGCAGCAGGTTAGGATTGGCCAAAGAGATGACCCTGTGGTTGGACCAGTTCTGCACCATCGGTCCCTGAATACCAAGCCAAAGAGAAGGGACAGTGTGGAAGGTGAGGCACTGGTGTCCATTCTCCTGAAGGAATGGAAGAGGTTGGTGGTTAAGGACGGCATCCTCTACCGCAAAGTTAAAGATGGACAAAGAGGGTCAATGGAACAGTTGGTGCTGCCTGAGAAGCTACGAATGTTCGCCAAGACAGCCCTCCATGATGATTCGGGACATATAGGTTTGGACCGCACTTTCGCACTGATGAGGGAGCGCTTTTACTGGCCCAAGATGTTCCATGATATCAAAGCATGGTGTGAACAGTGTGAGAGGTGCTGTCTCAGGAAGACTCCAACAGCAGGTCAGTATTCACACAAGCCCACCAATGGAACTGGTCTGTATAGGCTTTCTAACATTGGAGAGGTCCAGAGGTGAGATTGAGAATGTGCTGGTTGTAACTGATCACTTCTCTCGTTTTGCACAAGCTTACCCGACCAAGGATCAGAAGGCATGCACAGTGGCAAAGGTGCTGTGGAGGAACTTCCTCTGCCGGTTTGGGTTTCCTGCTAAACTTCACGCGGACCAAGGTCGCAACTTTGAGAGTGCTGTAGTGAAGGGGCTATGCAAGATCACTGGAATCACAAAGTCACACACAAGCCCATATCATCCTCAGGGTAACGGAACCACAGAAAGATTTAATAGGACCCTGATGGATATGTTGGGGACACTGGATCCACAAGAGAAGTCCCGCTGGCATGAACATGTGGACGCCATGACACATGCCTATAACTGTACGTGCCATGACTCGACGGGATACACACCATACTTTCTAATGTATGGCAGACATCCCAGGCTGCCCATTGACCTTGTCCTAGGGCTGCCAGAGAGTGCAGAGCCATGTGAGTACAGTGAGTACGTTCAAGCCCTTCTGGACTGCATGAGCAATGCTTATGATAAGGCCAACCAGATGTCCAGACATGCAAAAGAACAGCAGAAAAAAACAATATGACCGCAAGGCGAAGCCTCATGAATTCAAGCCTGGGGACGGGGTGCTCGTTAAGATTTGTCACGTGGAAGGCAGACAGAAGCTTGGAGATAGGTGGGAACGCCAGCCCTACATTGTCATAAAGAAACAGCCTGACATACCTGTGTATGTGGTCCAGACTGAAGATGGAGACAGGGAGAGAGTTGTTCACCAAAATCTGCTTACCCAATGCATGTTCCTCCCCGTGGAGCCCCAGCCGGGGTTGTGTATGACGAGGGAGCCGAACATTGAGGCAAACACTGATTGCAGTGATACAGAAGATATGGAAGGTGTTCAGTTGGAGGACCAGAGGAACACTGCAATTGAAACCCAGCCTGAGGAGATGTACGAAGGGGGGGACCAAAGCGAACGGGAGGAGGGGGAGGACAAGTGTCAAGGACAGACTTTAGGGAGTGGAACTGAACCAAGGGGGCCGGGAAGCCGGAAGGTGGCTTCCAAAGAGCATGTAGAAAAGCAGAAGAAACCCGCCAAGAGACAGATGCCCGCCCAAGAAGTTGTCCTACCATTCAGTAGCTGTGAAACCTGTCTCTGATCAGCAAAAGATCGAAATAGGACGAAGACTGTGGCAGGAAGCCAAAGAAAAGAAGATGGGTGCTGTCAAAGACTGAGCAGGATATATTGCACATATGTTGCACTTCACGCTTCACATCATGAACACTATGTAAGGAGGTGAACTAATGTAACGAGTCTGCAGAGGTTTCCTCATTATTTTCAAAAGTTGTGTACTAAAGGTACAGGACAGCACTCCAATTATAGTGTTTATTGCCACACGAACGTTTCGGGTGAAACCCTTCCTCAGCATGCACAAGCAACAAAGTAAATGGTTCACACACACAGGTGTCACTTATCAGTAATCAGGCTGACACAGCAGCTGCAGGTAATAGCAAGAAAAGAAAAAAGAAAAAAGGAACCTAACAATGTATCCCTTCTTATATCAACACAAACAATCAAGTAACCACAATAGTGATATTTCATTATTTTCAAATAATTGGTGAAGGAACCCCCAGAGGGCGTCACCTTGTTGGTCTGTTTTGGTGCTGTGTGGCTATTCTTCTTTGTTGGTTGCGGCCATCTTAGGTCACAACTTCTTGTCCTTTTCTGAAAGGTAAGCAGTGTGAACTGTCTCTCCAGTCTAAAGATAGGAGAAAAAAGTTATTGTTTTGCACTATCCAGTGTGTCATTTCAACAAATATGAATGCTAAGAGCTATATTAATGTGGTGGTGTGGTCATTTGTGAAAGAGACAACTGTGGAGTTTAAGTTTATTACCAATGTATGTGGTGGCCCAGAAGCATGTTACAATTCCTGTGCAAGGAAAATGTTTTGGTTCTTTTCATATTATTGTTCTCTCACACATGCACAGACACATAGTTATACTCACTCGCTCATTTACACCCACATGTACTCTTTTACTCTCACCCACGCACATGCAGACACACACTCACACTCACTCGCTCATTTACACCCACACTCTTTCACTCACACACACACACACGCACACTCGAGTGAGTGTGCGTGTGTGTGTGTGTGAGTGAAAGAGTGTGTGTATGTATGAGTGAAAGAGTTTTCACTCATACATACATAGTCACGGTCACTCGCTCACTCACACACATACTCTTTTACTCTCACTCACTTATGCACACATCTGTTAACTGCTGGTTATGTTAATACTGGTTACTGGAAAAGACCATGGGAGATGTTCTATTGCAGTGTGACATATTTTGTATTGTAAGCACAACTTCTTGTCCTTTTCT